CCCGGGCCCCGTCGTCTGGAGGGCATCCCACGGCCCGCGCCCCCGCGCGCCTCTTTGCAAAGTAACTTCTGGGGCCGTCCGCGCCCCCTCTCACAGCCCAGGGCTCCCGGGGCCGGGGCCGCAGCAGGGGCTGGACTGGGCCCCGCGGAAGGTTGAGTGCGCGGCGGGAGGAAGAAAGAAAGCCAGCGAAGGCTGGGGCCGAGGGAGCCCGGCGTGCTGACCGAAGGCAGGGGACCCCCCGAACGAAAGGAGCGCGTCCTCAGGGGCGAAGGGACGAGGGGTAGCGAAAGAGAAAGGATCCGTAAAAGGGAGGGGAGGTGGTAGATGGAGGGACAGACGGACAGAGGAGGCATGGAGGCAACAGACAAAAGGACACGGGAAGAAACCCAGAGACAAACAGACGTGGAAAAGAAGAGATCAGAAAGGCCGATGGGGGTGCGGTGGGACCCGGGGATCCAGAGGAGACGAAGGGACAACAAGAAGAGAAAGATCTAAAGGGACCGCTAACCCGTGAGGTTCGGCTTCTAGGCATCTCCGTCGCTGTCTCTCTTCCTCCTTTACCCCCCTCCCCAGTTGTCTTGTCTCCTTCTCTGCCTGGAAACCTGATGGACAGCTGGACGGTCAGAGGGGAGAGGGAGAAGGGCAGACGAGAGGATAGCCAGACAGACGCTGGGAAGGGGCTAGATTCGAACTCAGGGAGTGGAGACCATCAGAGATACCGGAGACCGGAGGGAGGGACGAAGCATAGTCCAGGACAGGCAGGCCACTGCTGGACATTGGAGATGCTGCAATAGATCCCACTGGCACCCCCATGCCCTCTCACTGGTCCTTTCCTGTTTCCCCAAAAGCTGAAGTCACATTCCCTCCTCCCCCTCTCAACTTTGTGTGTGTGTGTGAGAGAGAGAGAGAGAGAGAGAAATTGGGTGTTCCTGCCTTCTCCTTGGCATCCACTGCCTGACTGCTACACCGGGCTCTGTGTGTGGGATTGGGGGTCTTCCTCCTCAGAGTCTTTGCGGTGAGGTGGATACCAAGCCAGTTCGAGGACTCCTCAGTTAGAGTGAGCTGTTTCCTAGGCCTGCTCACCACTTCCCATGGGTCTGTGAGCTGTCTCTCCTAGGCTTTGGGGTCCTGTATCCCTGTGCAGCGCTACCTCTCTCTCTCTGTGTGTGTGTGTGTGTGTGTGTGTGTGTGTGTGTGTGTGTGTGTGTCTACCTTTCTGTCTCTTCTATAGCTCTGTCCCTGGGTTGCCAGCCCCAGAGCATGTGTGACCTTGGCAGCCCTGGGTCCAAAATCCCAGCATTGTAACCACCCAATGCCAGCAAACCTCAGCCAGAGAGGTTGTTGGGGGAGGGCCAGCAGACTGTGGGGGCTGCACACGTGTGGGGTGCCTTTCTCCTCCTCCCCTGCCTACTCCCCAGCCCCTAACCTTTTAAAGAACATCCAAAGACATGTTGATGAGCTATGTTGGGCGGTGCCCCCACCTGTCCCCAGGTCACCTTCTAACTCTGACATCTGCCTGGTGGAAGATTGGGAGTTGGGGAGCAAAGACCCCAGAACTTTCCCTGCTCTTGGTCTCACGAACTGACCCATGGGAAGTGGGAAGGGCCCTATGTAGCATGTTTTCCCTGCTGGTCTATGTCGGGAGAGGTGGTCCCCACCCCCTCTGCACAGGCTTTCAGTCCTCTGCCAGCCTGCAGAGGTGGGCGGGGAGGCTTCTGTAGCCTTTAACCCATCATTCCATACCCATGTTACTGCTGAAGTTACGACCACCAATCCCCAGCTCTGGCCTCCTGCGCCTACAGCTGAAGGGGGTGGGCTGCCAATCTGAGCAGACACAACAGCCCTGAACACTGATTCAGCCAGCCATTGGTGCACGTGCATGTGTCTGCGTGGGCACGTGTGTATGCACACGTGTTTTTCCTACCATGTCTTCCTTTGGTGGCAGGCTGGAGCCTTGGGGGCTGGTGCAGGGGAGGAGGGGCTCTGGGGTATTTCTTAGAGAGACCCTCCACTCAGATTTAGAACTCATAACAACCAGGGCCGTCAATACCCCAAAATGGATGTCATTGGGGACCAGGAAGTTTAGGGCAAGGCCAGCAGTATGAAGGGATGGAGACATTTCGAATCTCTCCTTCTGGTGACTGCCAGGGTTCCTGGTCCTTCTATCTGTCCATTGTCCATCTGAGTGGGTTTCTAGCAAGCTGGAGATCACAAAGGGATGCTCTAAGACTGCTTACAATGTATCAGAGCCAATTGCCACCAAGTCCTCTCTGGGCCTCACTTTCCTTCTTGTCATCCAAGGAATTAACTTGTGGTCCTGTGCCCGTGTGGGCCCTCTCACCATCTTGGTTCTCTGTGTGTATGTGTGTACGAACGAGGGGGCTTCAAAAAGTTCATGGAAAAATTCCACGATGTTTTCATTCCATTTTCACACAATTAAAGCCCCTTGATGTGTGTGTGTGTGTGTGTGTGTGTGTGTGAAGTTGTGTGTGCACAACCAGGTATCTGAGGTGGTGGTTGTGTGTGATTGAGTCAGTTCTAACTCATAGCACCTATGTATAGGGTTTCTGAAGTTGTAAATCTGTACAGGACTAGAAAGCCTTATCTTTTTCCCTCGGAGTGTCTGGTAGATTTGAACTGCTGACCTTGTGGTTAGGAGCTCAGCTCATAATTCATTACACTACTAGTGCTCCTTAGGTATCTGAGGTAGAGGAAACCAGAGGCAGCCAGAGCCGGGGTCCGAGCAGCTGAGGGTTTGGTCCCGCTGCTGGGACATTCCACTCTGGGCACGCGGAAGCTAGATTAAGAAAACTGCACCTCCACATCCTAGGGCGTGGGGGTACCCCCTGTTCATGTCCCCTGCAGTGAGCTTCTTGGCTTAGTCTCTATCCGTTTTACCCATTGTTCTCTCCTATCCTCAGTTTCCCCATCTGTAACCCAAAGGGGCTGAATGTTAATTCCTCTAAGGATCTGAATTCTAGAATTAGGGCCATGGAGGAGGGCTGGAGGAAGAGCAAGACACACACACACACACACACACACACACACACACACACACACACTGATGGCTGACTCTTCCTCCCTTTGTTCTTGTCTCTTGGGGGCATCCAGTCAATTCCGATTCACAACGCCCCCCATTAGAACTGCCCCATGGATTTTCTTGGCTGTCATTTTTATGGACACATCACTGGGTATTACGCCCTCAGAGCAGCTGGGTGGCTTCCTATTGCCAACCTTTCGGTTTCCAGCCAAATGCTTAACACTTGCACCACCTACTACACCCCAGGCCTTGGTTCTCTCATCTTTCCTTAATGGGAATATTAATCCTACTTAATGGGTTGCTGTAGAAAATATGGTGACCTGAGGGTGGCATCCGCCTAGCACAGAGCGGCCCCATGTGACTAATCTCATTGTTAATTACCCCAGGAGGAGGGGTAGGAGTGCCTCCTGCTTCCCCAGCCACGCCTCACCTGTCACTTCTCCCCTCCCCCCACAGGGACAGTGGACGTGGACGAGTGCTCTGAGGGCACAGATGACTGCCACATCGATGCCATCTGCCAAAACACGCCCAAGTCCTACAAGTGCCTTTGCAAGCCCGGCTACAAGGGGGAAGGGAGGCAGTGTGAAGGTAAGTCCAGCCCAGTCACCCCATCTGCCCCCCAGACTCTGGTGGCTGTGGTTACTGTGGATATGCCAGCCAGGGACTGCGCTCCAGTCCTGCTCTCCGGGACACGGACTACTTCCTGGAGGGTGGAGTCATGGGTGTCTGGTTCTGGGTTTGAAAGGTTTAGGATAGTCAGAAGTTGAGGTGAAGCACTGAGTGATAGATTTGTGTAGCTATCCCCAGCTGGACAGAAGGAGGGCAGAGGTCTGTAGTGACCACCTTGTGGTATACTGTGGATCCCGGAGGACCCAGAGGACCTGATTGGTGGCCGGTCACAGCATTGGTGACACTGGCCCACGGCTCCCGTCTCGAGCGCTAGAGCTTGGGCAGAGACACCTGAATTGGTGCCTTCGGTCAGCCCATCCAGCCTTCTTTCCCTGCACCTAGGGCACTTGTCTGGCCCCCTAGCATTAGAGCCTGCCTGCCTGGCAGACCGAAAGTCAGACGGATACGCAGCCTATGCCAGCCAGCTGCACCTAGAGGCACATCCGTCCCCAAGGCCCTGTGGGGCTAGAAGCGGCTTTGCATGCGTGTCAGTGATCCAGTTCCTCCCTGTAGACCCTCACTTTGTAGAAGAGACTGAAGAGGGTCTCAGTTCTCTCTTGGGTCCCGGAGTGTCACAGCGGTACAGCAAGGACTGAACCCCAGGTCTTCTAGGTCCCACACTGTGGCTCTTTGCTGTTTCCATCACTCCTCCCAGGCCTGCCCACTGTGTTTTGCAAAGTATGAGATCTGTGTTAGCCAAGCGGCCCTTGAGAGCAAGATAGATACCTTTTCTTTTTACATAAGGGTTTGTTGTCACTGTTGTGTGCTGCCATGTCAGTTCTGACTCACAATGATCACATATGACAGTGTCCTAGGATTTGCTAAACTGTCATCTTTATAGGAACAGATTGTCCGGTCTTTTCTAGCCAGGAGCTGCTGACCTTTCGGTTAGAAGCTGAACACTTAACTTTTGCACCAACAGCGTTCCTTGTTGTTGTGAAGTGCTCTTAAGTCGATTTTGACTCATAGCAACCCTGTTAAGGGTTTCTGAGGAGCAGCTGATGAGTTTGAACTGCCAACCTTGTGGTTCAAACCGACCTTGTAGTCCAGTGCTTATCCTTCAGTGCCACCCCAGGCCTTCTTGTGCAGGGCTTTAGAGGAATGCTTGAGGTGGAGGAGATACAGTGGTTCCTCCTTGAGATACATTTACGGAATCTCTGCTTTGAGCTGAGCGCTGGGCAGACAATATTGCTGTGGCTCGTGCCAGACTTGGCCACATCCTTGGCCTTGTGTGGTGTCCAGAGGCCAGAGTGGGGAGTTGGCAGCTGCCCATAGCCCTCTGGAAGGGGGCCAGACTGAAGGCAGAGACAGCAGGTTGTGAGAAAGAAAGCTGATGAGCCGAGATGGGGGAGGGCTCCGTGTTTTCAAGTGGCACCACATGTGGATGTAGGGAACCGTCTGGGGACATTCTGCTCTGCCCAACAGGCCTGGTACTCTGGCAGGGAAGAGTCATGGTGGCAAGCCAGGACCCCCTGCCCTGCTGGGACCCTTCAGAAAGAGGAACCATGGAAAGCTATCCCTGCTGGCCTGAGAGTCTCAAGAGACTAGCAAGGTAGAGGGCTGGCAATGAGTGGAGAAGATTGGCAAGCTAGATAGCAGGCTTTGGGTAGGCAGCAGCCACGTGGAAACAGTGGTCTCTAGGCCCAAATTGCAAAACCCCAGAAAATATCTAAGATTGAGATGCTATTTTTCTAGGGATTTCCCAAGTGGTGTTTCTCTAACAGTGGTGTTGGACCTCTGTCAAATACAGATTCCCAGGCGTTCTGCAGCAGACAGCTTAGGGTAGTCTGGGGAGAGGCAGTGAGGGGTTCTGTATTTTCACACATATCCAAGAGACAAGCCATAAACTGGTTTCTAGAAGGGGAGAGAACCGTTTCCCACAATCCTAGGAGGTGCTCCTCATACGCAAGAGCTTCTTGGGGACCCACAGGGAGGGGGCCACCAAGAGACTATACTTCCTCCCTGATACTTTGAAAGTTGGGGTCTTGCTGTATACTTGGTCTGTTGGTATTCACCAACACCTGTGGTTGGGGTCTGTAGGAGGAGGAGGTCTGGGTTTGGATCTCAACTGTCAAGTCCAAAGTGCCCTGTGACTTGGGGGGCAGGTGGTTGCTCTCCCCAGGACTTAGGGGTTTCTTCTCCACAGGTCTTTATGATGATGGAAGGTGGGCTCCATCAGTGGTCTGCAGCCTTGCTCCTGCCCTACCCTTCTGAGGGCTGTATCGCCCACTGCAGGGGGTGGTCACCTTGTCCATTGTTCTAGGGGATGTCTACCTCTTGAATGGCCCACCTCCTAGTCTATTGCTGGCTCTCTTAGCAGGGGAACGAGCTAGCTTGCCTGCTCCCTATTGTCTGTCTGCCAGCTTTTAGCGCTGCTCCAGCCCTCAGTACACAGTGGTCCTTTGCAGTCAGTCCTGAGGTTGAATGAGGTGCAGTGTGCTGGTCTGCCTCGTGTCAGTGGTTGACTCATGGTGGGTAATCAATATACAGTGAATGCTACTGCCACCCCCAGTTACCTTCTCTCCTGCCACCGGACCTTCCCCACCTGCATCTCAGCCTGTGTAAGTTACTAGCTTGCTTGCTTTTCCTCGCCTGCTGCCCGCCCCTCCCCCAGGAGGACTTACATTTGTCCCTTGCCTTCAGAGTCCAGTTTGAACACCGCATGTTGGGAGTCAGACTCCTGGTCCCGGGTCCACCTCTGCCACCCCCCTGGCTTGGTGGGCCTCCTCTCCAGTCTGATGGCGGGGGACTCTTTTCACTCTGCAGGGTTTGAGGATGAAAGAGTATATGGCAGGTGGACATACTTCAGAACTACCAGGCCCTCAGGGTCCAGGCCTTCCACATTCTCCAAGTTCACTCAGACCCCCACCTTTACCTCCTGAAACCCTGAACAACATCTGAGTTCTGACCGCACATTCACACGCCAGACTGTTCTGTGTTCCACAGCTTCAGCTTGGGCTGCTCTCATGCCTAGGCCTCCTTCTCCTCCCCTTGTGGCCTGGCTAAATCCTGTCATGCTTGAGATTTGCCTCCTCCAGGAAGGATTCCTTGTTACAGACACACACGTGGATGTGTTAAGTACCTACTTGCTTCCAGAATCTCCTGACCCTGGATTATAATGAACCATCTTGATCCCCTACAGGAATAGTGGCTCACTTAGTGAAGGTTGCCATGCCACCGGCTCGGTGTTGGGGCCACCATGTTGAGGCTGTGTCTCCAGCAAGCTCACACTGAGATCCTGTCATTGTGTTGCTATCTATACACTCCCGGGCAGGGCCTGGCACCAGTGTAGGTGTGTGGAAAATGTTTAGTCTGAGTTGGCTCTCTGTTGCCCAAACTGGGGATCAAATACGACAAACGAGAGGAAGTGTGAGGGCAGGGTGGGAGAGGAGTGTTGGGTTGGCGGAGGGCCCATGTTTGCTGTGGTGTCATTTGGACCCTGTCCAGTGAGAGAGGAACTGGGGACAGGCTTGTCCATCTCTGCCTTGTCTGGAGTGAGATTTGGGAGGTTATTGGACCTCCCTGAGCCTCACTTTCTTCTTTGGTTATATGGATCCAAAATAGGCCCCACCACAGTCAGTCCTGAGGTTGAATGAAGTGCAGTGTGCTGGTCTGCCTTCTGTCGGTGGGTGAGTCATGGTGGGTACTCAGTTTATAGCATGTGCTGCCGCCACCACCACCACATCACCCTCACCACCATCATCATTACCATCATCACTACCATCACCATCACCATCATCATAACCACCGTCATCACCATCATCATCATTACCACCTTCACCATCATCATAACTACCACCACCCCCATCATCACCACCATCACCCTCACCATCATCATCATTACCATCATCATCACGACCACCACTACCATCATCACCATCATCATCATAACCACCAGCATCACCAGCATCATAACTACCATCACCCCACCACCACCACCATCACCCTTACCCTCACCATCATTACCATTATCACCATCACCACCACCACCATCATCACCATCATCACCATAACCACCACCACCATCACCATCATCACCATCATCACCATAACCACCACCACCATCACCATCATCACCATCATCATAACCACCATCATCACCGTCATCATCATCATCATTATCATCACCATCATTACCATCATCATAACTACCACCACCCCACCACTACCATCACCTTCACCATCATCATAACTACCACCACCCCCATCATCACCACCATCACCATCATTACCAATATCATCACCATTACCACCACCACCCTCACCCTCACCATCATCATTACCATCATCACCACCATCCCCATCATCATCATCACCATCATAACTACCATCACCCCACCACCACGACCATCACCTTCACCCTCACCACCATCACCATCACCCTCACCTTCACCATCATCACCATCACCACCACCACCACCACCACCATCACCATCATCACCATCATCATAACCACCATCATCACCATCATCATCATCATCATCACCACCATCATCATAACTACCACCACCCCACCACTACCATCACCTTCACCATCATCATAACTACCACCACCCCCATCATCACCATCATCACCATCATCATCTTTGTCCACCCTGCCTTTCAGAGTCCCTTCAGGCTCCAGTGAGCTTTTGAAAGTGGATCTGAGCATCACTAAGTGCTATAAGAAGTGAGAGTTAGGGTGCCAGCTGGTCCCTACCTTCAAGAAGCTTATAGTCTGACTAGGCTACAAAGTACTTATCGGTAAACTTCTTCATTAGCAGGTTAGGGCCATGCTGGTGGTGAGTTGTTAGCACGGAGACTAACTGTTAGGACTGAGAGGAAAGTGTCATTGGGGTCACTCACTCCCTGAAGTGAGTGGACAGCTATAGAGTCCGGCGACCTGAATAGACCCTGTCCTACTGCACTGTGGGTTCCTT